AAGGAAGGAAGGAAGGAAGGAAGGAAGGAAGGAAGGAAGGAAGATAGGTAGAAAAGGACGGGAACAACGAACGAACGATCTATCGAACGAGTGAACGAGCGAGCAGAATAGGGAATAGATAGGAGTAGGGGAAATGAATGGTAGAAAAAAAGAGAAAAAGAAGAAGAAGAAGCAGAAGTAGAAGAATAAGGAGGAGGAGAAGAAGAAGAAGAAGAAGAAGAAGAAGAAGAAGAAGAAGAAGATACTTTATTTATGTGTCAGTTGAGGATCTAGCTCCTAAGTGACAAGGAGCTAACTGAGGACACAGTATATTTAAAATGGAATTTCCAAATATATACAATAAGAATTACCTAAAAATATACTAATTAGAACTGAAGTAATTTAAAACGCATTGTAAAAATATAAAAAGGATTGAGAATACTCTAAAAAAATTTATCAAATTGAAAAAAAATTACACAAAAAAAACTTTATAGCTCACCAGCAGTCAGAATCCTCGTACTCTTCTAAACGGAAATCGCTAAAATACACCCATATGGCTTGGATAGGGGTAGAGTGGTTTGGTTGAATGGCCCAATGACACTGCTGCTTTCCACCATACTGACAAGGTTTATTAGGACTCGCTACCGTGCCGTTAACGTCGGTTAAGGTACGTAACCCCTCACAGGCTTAAAAGAACGAGAAAAATATATCAATACCATGAGAAAAACTCACTCAAGTTCACATGCGCATTGCGTCTAAATGTTTAGCGAGAATTCGCCAAAGTCGAGGTAAATATTTATCACTTTTCACCCACATTGAGATGAATAATTGTTGTAGCCTATACCAAACCAGTAAATAGCCAGCTACAAAATTAATATAAGCGAAAAAAGTCATTTTCAACGACAAATACTGCGTGTGCGCGCACGACCGTGAGAAGAGCGGAAAAGGTCAGATGACAACGGCAGGCAATAGACAAAACAATTTTAACATGTTTCGCGCGTAAATAGATTTCTGTACATTTTAAACTGAAAGTTGTTAGTTTCTTTTTATTAACGCATAAAGGTGAAGAGTATGATTCGCGTAGTGGCTTTTGTCATTGCTTGGAAAATTTACATTGAAGTTGAAGTTGCAGTGAGACTTGCTACTAATAATGAATTCCTATGAAGAATCCACCAACTTTTGAAATGTGCATTTAGTTGCGCTCAATGTTTCAACTGGACAAGGATATCACTGACTTTTGAGAAACCACGAAACTTCGATGTTGATCAGTATTTGACGACCAGAAAACTTTGCGAAAATCAACGAGTCCAAGATTGATCAATCCAAATACAAACCCGAATGGTTGGCAGGATTAGATCGTGTGCAAAGATTTCTTGACTTCTGAAAGGATATGTCTAATCGATGCTCTTTGGTCTCGAGGGAGTTTGGCACCACGTCAAAGACCACTGCTCATGCACGTGCTCAAACATCTAATTTCCGAATTTTGTAGCTGAAGATGGTTACAGCAGGAACAGAAACGTTTTGTTGTAATTTTTAAGCCAATAACAACATTCTTTTAATCAAGTTTTTAACCATGCCTAGCTACAAACCAAGTATATTTATGAAAAGAACGTATATTGATCGCATTGCTTTCTAACCCATCTTAAAAATAACGTTAAGAGTTCCATGCAGGAACCTCGCTTAAGAGGACTGGAAGAAAATGTTTCTGTTCTGATACCAAAGGTAAAGAGGAAATCATATCATTTTGTTTTGTTTTGTTTTGTTTTGTTTTGTTTTGTTTTGTTTTGTTTTGTTTTGTTTTGTTTTGTTTTGTTTTGGAGATGAAAAACAAAGGGCAAAACGTTTGGCTTTACTTACCGGTGAAAATTTCTCTCTCACTGGATGGTCCAGATCCACCTTGTGTAAATCCAGAAACACTGATACGATACTGCCATCCTGGAGGAATATTACAAAGCTTGTAATCGGTATTTGGAGCCATAACATCAACATGACCAGAATGACCAGCAGGGTTGTCCTCTGGGAAGCAAGCAGTACGGTAGTAAATTTTATAGCCAAGAATTACACCGTTTCGATCCTCCTCAGAAATTTCATGCCACTTGATTTTCACACAGCCGACCGCATCGATCTCTAAGTCGTCCATGTGAGGTTCTCCGTCAGGAGCTACAAATAGATCAACATGGCGTAGTTAATGAAGGACTGACTAAAGTTTCTATATATCCCATGCAGTGATTTTAATAAACTACAGCGCCAGCATCGCACTGTACATGACATCGATGCTGCAAAAGGGCATTTCATAGGCTAGAGCGCAGAAGGAAACCATCGCCAAAGGGAAAGTGCGACGCAAACGCTGCACGTGAACCATGTATACATCCTGCAGAGCGCGCTAGCAGTCCTTTGCGAAAATACAACTGAAATGCGGGTATGTGAAGTACCACCTGAGCCGGTTGAGATCTTTTTCATGTTGTTATTGCCGGTGAACGGAATGCTGCTATTGTAGCATGCGCCAGTCAGCTGATGATAGCTAATTCTAACTGCGATGGACATGGTGGATGAATCAAGTCAGTGGTGATTCGATACTTATGCTAGCATTGCTCACTGGCAATTTCAAGGTTTGGAAAACTTCTACTGATAATATTTGGGTGATTTCTCTCGCAAGGAATTATGTTGCGAAACAGCGGACTCAATCTGCCACGAAATGATATCATCAAATCAAGTACCAGCCGCTGCACAAGTCTACAAGCGCATGCATCAGTTTGACAAAGAGTAATATAATTACATCTTAATTGAACCGAAGGCATATTTCAGCGTGCTTTAATGAGTTCTAACGGAAAAGAGAGAGTCAAATCCAAGTAATCCGCTACGAAGCCTTAAAAAGACGTTCGTCGCGCCATTAATTTCTGCGCACGAAATCCATGCCGCAACGTCACGTTATGTCATACATCTAGCGCGCCAGCTAAGGAAGAAATGTAAACAAAAATAGGGTTTGGTAACGGTTGCGTTAACTTCACGCAAAGTTTGCTCTCTTAAATTATGCCTAACTCCTACCTTCCTTTTCATAGATCAATTTCTTTACCCCATTTTTTTTTCCTTTTAACAACAACAACAGAAAAAAAAAAGGAAAAAAAAAAAATCTGTCCGTGAGAAGTTACAAATAATTATTTCGCCTTTTCTGCTCTTGTGCGACCAAAGTTTCGTTAGACTGTGGAAGGGTAAGACTAATATGTATTTCTTTTCAAGGCCTATTCAAAGTCAAGGAACGATATCAGCGAAAGTTACCTTAATTAGATTGTTCACAGCCTCTCTATTTACGCGCGCGAAAGAAAAAAGTGAGCGTTTATGTCGGTCCCCACCCCCTACCCAGTCAAGTCTCACGTTATTCTATCCACGCGTTCAACAATCGAATAAAAATACGAGAAAAATAGAGGGCTGTGAGCAATCTAACTTTATAGGCTGTGTTGAATTCAGTACGGTTACCTGATCTAAATTTCGCATGTGTCTTTAATCTGCTAGTAGTACGCTAAAATGTCTTACTCACCTCCTTCGGGGGTCTGGACGAGGAATTCCTCACTTCTGAAAATTTCATTGCTTTTGTCAACGACGTAAACAGTAGTAGTGAAATTTCTGAAAACGGGCGCGCCTGACAGTTCAGCGACTAACGTATTCGACGAGTTGAACATAAAGAGATAGCGGCCATCATCGTCATCGTCATCATCATAGCCATGGTGGTGGTCGTCATGGTCATTACTCTTTGTCTCATTCATGGATATGATGAAGAAGTTGTCGTCTATGTTAGATGGAGAACCACTCAAATCTACCACAACTTTCCCGTCCTGGCTAGTGCTGGAAGACAAGTACCATGGAGTCGGCGAAGTTGGAAGAGCTTGATGGAATTAGAAAGATCGTTGTCAGATTTTGATGAGGTACGATGATCTCACGGTTACTGTTCGTGTGATTCCCTTAGTTAAGATCCTGAGATTGTTAATTTGAATAATGTAAAACCCATGAGCTTTCATTTTGGACGCATGTTTCAATCATTTATCCTCTGCAGTCTTTGGTTTGGAAAACGTGCTTTAATGTATTTTTCTAAGGCATAAAGTTCCCAACATGCGCAGTTTGTTCTCTGACTTCTCTAAGACAACAATAAACCTCATCACATGCTGGCGTTTAATAGAGAGTTTACCTGAATAAAGACTTTTCTCTCCTTCCAAAATGACGAATTCCGATCTAACATAACTCCATTCGTGTCTCATGTGAAGCTTCACAGTCAGAAAGCTTGATCCATCAAAACGCACCTCCTCTATCTCACCATGAACCGAGGAACAGCCGCCATGATGAAAGATCTCTGAGTCATCGCTCGAAAATACCTTAGCCCAACCGCTGTAGGGGCAGGAAGAATAACAACAATTTACAACTATTTAACTGTCAGAATTATTTAAGTTCAGAAGTAAATAATGTTTAATAATGATATTTTAACGGGAAGCTTTCTCACCCGTAGGTGATCTACAGAAAGGTCCCGATCCAAAATAACATTAAATTATTAAAAAATAAATACACAAATTAAAAAATATATTAACACCTTTGGGCCAATTAACGTTTAAGTTATGCCTCAATTGTTTCTTTCGTTTTTTGTATCTTTAAAAGCAATCCTCATACATTCGAATACTTGTTTTTCATTTTGGAAATTAACAAATAAGGTATAAGTAATTAAGTTTGTATTCCCCCATTGTACCTCGAGAGCACCTATCCAACACGAATCCGTTAAGGGTCGTTAAGATTAGGTCATGAAGCAAGACAACGTCCGATATTGTATGCTTTTCTTCGATTTTGTTGCCATAACTGTTTACAAAACATAATTTATAGTTGTCATGATTTACGGTAGTGGAACTTCCAAAATAAATCTTGGCATTTTCGTAACCTCCTTTGATGTTTACTGAGCTTCATAGAGTCTTCATAATGCATTCCTCCCTAATTAATATGCAATATATACAATAACTAATGATAAAATAATAAAATAAAATAAAATAAAATAAAAAAATAATAATAAGATACGTTACTCGCAAGATCTCAATTGGACATCGTGGGCAGCAATGTATAGTACTGGATCACTTAAGCCGGGATTGTGTATTGTCCAGCTGCAGTATAGTTCCTCCCAGTCCCATTGAGTGACGTTAAACTCTCCGAAGTGTCCATAGAAACTACCTTCACATCCTGTCAGAAGACAGCGATTGTAATTCAAGGAATGAATGAAGGCGTGAATGAATCAACCAGTCAATCTACCAATCCACTCATATCTATCCATCCATCCATCCATCCATCCATC